TGAGAGGGATGAGATGCAGGGGAGGGAGGAAGTCTCCTGGGAGGTCAGATACTGTGCACACAGCAGGCCGGGGGGAGAGGGAGATTGAAAAGGAATGGAATAAGGAATTCAGCAACACACTACTGGTGTGTGGGGAGCGATGTGGCATTTCTCTGTGAATATTCAAAGATATGGCTTTTGTTAATAGTAAATTGGGCAAGACACTAAACCCCCAAGTTGCCCCCGATGGTTAGAGCCATCAGTTGAGTTGACGCCACAGATGGCTGCCTCAATTCTGTACCGGAAACAAATTCCTTGTGTGTAACATACTTGGCCAAATAGAGGTGATTATTATTAAACATTCACTGATTTCTTGGCTTGATAACCAGCAGCAATTTAAAAGCTGGTGATTATGATCTGTTAACATTTAAACTCATAAGTATAAAAATATTAGGATTTTTCCAAAAAATATCTCACTTCTTATGACTCACGGGGAGGTCAGGGGTCATGTTCTGACATAACACAGCAGCTCTAGTGGCCAGTCAGTGTCATGTTCAAGAACACTGTAGGAGGATGGAAGTTTGCTGATGCTGTAGCTAAAAGACGGCCTCCCTAGGTGCTCTGCAGTGCTGCTGTAATAAAAATATATTTTCACTGCAAAAGGAATCAATTTGTTCTTTGCCCTTGGAGTTGTTGCCTAGCTCTTTCACTAAGGGTACCGGAGAGTTCTGCATCACAACCTCATACTCTGAATAGCCTGTACTTTGTGACTCAACAGTCTGCAAACTCAACAGTGCATTTCTATAGACTCGTGAAACTTTGACAAAAAAAATAAAAGCAAGCATGATTGTGAGGTGCTTTAGAAAGTGGTTAGCAGGGATTTAATGCAGTGAAATGTAGGACATGGTGGTGATGGGTTTGAAGCCACAACTGGAAGTACAAAATAACTAATTTGCTCTCATGTACAATCATATTTGCTTTAAAGTCAGAACATGTAAGAAGAAATAACACAATGTTCTTCTAAGAAATTAAAGGTTGAATTCATTCCCGTGCTCCTTTCCTTACTCTTTTGTTATGACCAGTTAGCTTATGGTGGCTAATGTTAACAATCAGTTAATCAATCTGCCCTCTGTTTTCATAATTATTTTTCTTTTGATTCAAGCATGTCAAAACAGGCAAAAATGCATGTTTTATCTTTCCAGTGTCAAAACAGGTTTCAAATGTCCTGTGTAATCCAACCAACAAATCCAAAGATACTCGGGTTATTATCACATATAACTTTCGCTTATGTATCTTGTTTGACTGTACTGTGTTTTATTGAGTTCTAATGACTAAATCTGTGCAAAGTTCTTGCTGTATTTTGTATACTGAACTCATTATTTGGTTTACAGCAGAACACAGAGGAGGATGCAAATGAAAATGTGGATGGATTTCAAATTCATATGATTTCATGTGATTACTTCCAGTTTAATCAAGAATCACTTGGAGTCATATTAGGTAAAAATTATCCCAACAGATAAATCAAATCAGGGTGTGTAGTATGATAATACTGCCCTTTATATGAAGTTTCAGAATATCTGATAATGACCCCTGACTGTAGATCAAATATCTTTTTGCATTCCTTTTTATCACTGTATATATTGCAAGGACATACTGTACCAATAACCTTACAGTGTGTAGAAGTGCATACCTACAGTACAGCAGGCAGGGAGCCAGCAGCAGTCAGGGCTTGTGTGGCTTTTGGCCAGAAGATGTCACTATACAACTAGAAACGAGGTACTGTCAACCATAGCATTTACTTCCTACATCAATGTTGCATCTAGGGCTAAATCTGCTGTTGTAATGATTCTTTTAATATGCTCGGTATATAGTTTACACACCAACCTTATGAAATACAGAAATGGATCATAACATACTGGGCCCTTGGGCACAGACATGTAAAAGGCTCCTCCACCATCCTACATACAGTAGAAGCAAGACATTAATACTGAAACCGACTCAAGTTTTGATAATCTCCTTAAGGTTATCGTTCGTCTTTGAAGATGTTTTGCATCTCTTTGTGGTCTACTTGCATGTCTTTGTAGTCATTTTGTGGTGTTTTGTAGTGGTTTTGCTGCTTCTTGCAGTTGTTTCACATCTCTTTACAGCCATTATTCATCTCTTTGTCATTGTTTTGTGTCTAATTTTGGCAGGTTTTTTTCTTTGGTCTCTTTCAAGGATATTGTGCATGCAAGTTCCAGGGGCCCCTTGAACCCTTAAGACCCTGGGCCTGTGCCCAGTCAGTCCCAGTCATCCGTTGTATTCAACTGGATTGAGCTCTAGTGAATGCAAAGACCACCGAATATGACATTATTTTCATACTTATCAAACCATTCAGGGACTCCTTGTGCCCTGTGGATGGATTACTGAATGGACCTGCTGGAGACAGGCCCAGCGGCCCACCAGAAAATCGTGAAGGCACTGGTAACTTTTCTGTTGGACAATCAATCACATGACTGGGAAAAAAATCACCAAAAAAGGATGCCAAACAACTACAATACCCCTAAAAAGAGGCACAAATGGCTAAAATAAAACAGGAAAGACTCCAAAGACAATAAAACACCTAAGCTGCTGCTTAACCTAAGAACACACAATGCAGATGTTATGTATCAAGCAACATATCTGCTCCTTGTTTGGGTGAGGAGATTAGGTCTGGAAAATGGTGTTGCTTTAGGGTTCAGCGATGCTTTGTGTTAAGGGTAGATTAGGTCTGGAAAATGGTGTTGCTTATTATGGGATTCTGAAGATTTATGATGGCATGGCCTGACACCCTCCTCTTTGGGGCCAAATAATAGGTAAACATAATTGAATTCATCTGCGATGGATTGGCGACCTGTCCAGGGTGTACCCTGCCTTCGCCCGATTGCCGGCCGGGATTGGGTCCCTTATATAGAATAGTATTGGATTACTGTGCATGTATAGTATGCATATATACTGTATGTATTTAATACTTATTATATATTGTTGTGTATGTGTGTTGTATGTACTATATACATATATACTCTGTTTACTGTATATGTATGTACTGTATATGTGTATATTGTGTATACTATATACTATTGTACTCCGGTTTCCTCCCGCAGTCCAAAGACATGCAGCTTAGGTTGAATGGTGACTTTAAATTGCCTCTAGGAGTGAGTGTGAGTGTGTGTGGTTGTGTGCCTATGTGTCAGCCCTGTGCTAGACTGGCGACTTGTCCAGGGTGGACCCCACCTCTTGCCCAATGTCAGCTGTGATAGGTTCCAGCCCTCTGCAACCCTATTTATGAATAAGTGATAGAGATAATGGATGGATGGATGTATAGTATTATAATCCTAGTAGGACAGTGATGGAGGGGAGAAAGGTACTTAGTATATTAAGTTATGTCTTCTGATATTTCATGGCACCATAACAACCTGTCATGTCCTGATACTTTTCTTCTTTTCTCTCTCTCCTCTATCCACTCACCCCAACCGTTTGAGGCAGAAGGCCGCCCACCAAGAGCCGGGCTCTGTCTGAGGTTTCTTCTGTTAAAGGGAGTTTTTCTTCCCCACTATCACCAAGGGCTGCTCAAGGGGGATTTGCTGGGTTTTCTCTTTAATAGTGTAAGGTCTAGACCTGATTATGGAAAGTGCCCTGAGACAACTGTTGTTGCAAATTGGTACAATACAAATAAATTTAATTGAATTGAAACTGAATTAAAATGTAGTCGCAAAACAAGTAAAAATATGTGCCAAATGACTGAGATGTATAACGAGTAAAGATTAATAGACACAAAATAACCACAAGAAGACAACCACTGACTATAGAACATGTGTTTGCTCAGTCTGTGAGTCCTGCTCCAAGAGAAGTGTAGGCAAGTGCAGGATATGGTTCTTGTTACCATTGCTAACTCTGAGAGACGAGGCAGTCCAAGTAACTTCAAAACAGTGTTGATTTATTCAAAGGATCACAGGTAAAATTAACATTACACGCTCAAGTATCTTGCACCTCCAAACTGCTCGCAGGCAGATGTAAGATGAAAGACCCTGAACCCACCAGGCCTATACATTATATCCCCTCGGTTGGGCTAGCCCCATACTACACAGAAACGTCAACCGGGACGTCTCTGTTACCAGCTTTGCAGCTGGCCCTAGCAGTAGTCAAAACATGAAGCAAATCAACGTGTGAATGTGTGTGTCTGTTGGTTAAGTGGTGTGTAACTAAAAACATTCTCACGACCTCTAGTACATGTCGTGGCTTAAACATAAGAACATATTATGGCTAAGGCTACAGTTATACACGTCATAATAATAATATTAAACACCCTGTCTGCTGACAGTCATCAACTCTTCTCTCTAGTTATCCTTGACCAGATGTACCCTGTAGAAACTCATAAGCATGCCTAAGCATTTAACAGTCTAACTAGACATCCTATCTCCACTAAACATTTCTAATACATAAAGTATCTATCCAATATCTATCTGACTAAAAATACCTAACACAAGGTAGGGGCCCATTATCTCATAAACCATCCATGATCATGCCCTGCTATATAAAAGGGGGCATTGTCATCCTGGAAGAGACCACACATTTACTGAAGTGTCCTTAACCCCCATTCTTGCTTCATTTCACTGGTTTCCAGTTCAGTATAGAAGAGATTTTAAATTGCAATTATTTATTTTAAGGCTTTAAATGGTCTAGTGCCCACCTTACCTCATGGAGCTGGTAGATCATGTGCCAGGAAGATCAGCCATTTCTGCAAGAGTATCTAGGTCTAAGTTTAAGCACAGAGCTGATCAATGCTTTTGCTATTGCTATTGGTAGGTTTTATATTGCTACTGAAAACTCACCTGTACTCTTTGGCTTTTGACTCTGACTATAGCTGAATGCCTTCTTCTTATTTTATGGCACTTACTGTTCTGTAATGGTGTGTAGTGGTGGAAGAAAGTATCTAAGTATTAGCATCAAAATATACTTAAACCAGCTAAAGTAAAAGTTTCACATTAATGTATATTATATTATTGAATTAGTTTTTATTGATGAATGATTGTGTTCATCATTTTAATGTTGCAGCTGGTAAAGGTTGAGCTAATGTTATCTGCCTTATATTGCTTCAAATTTGAAATTCTGCTTGGCTTCTTGAGATTTCCCACCAGGGATCAATAAAGTCTTATGATTGTACTGCATTTTATTCTCAAAGGTAGCTAAAGTTATCAAATAGCCTACATGTAGCACAGTAAAAAGTACAATATTTGCCTCCAAAATCTAGTAGAATTAGAAGTATGAAGTAGTAGTATGAAGTAGCAGAGCATAAACAAGTACCCCTCAAAAATGCACTTAAGTACAGTACTTGAGCAAATGTACTTACAGTTTACAGCTGTAACCAGTACTTTCCACCACTGATGGTGTGATATTTCACTGTGCTCGTGAGAGGTCTTATGGCTTCTTTTATGACCGTATAACAATTTTATGATGTAGTATTTGTTATTGTTAAGCACTTTGTAATGTCTTTTTTAGTGCTTTTTTATTATTTAGTAATAAATATAGCTGCTTCTCTTTTCCTGTAATTGTCACTTGTCTATAGCGGGTACGGGGCTCTTATTTCGAAGGCAAGCTTTATGGAAAGCCAAATTTTGGGTCTTTTATTTTGAAGTCTCCAGCCACACAGAGGTAGGCAGAGGCACCGCGGGGCAAAGACTCGGTATACAGAAGTGCTGTTGCTACCCTGGCCGCGGCAAGTATGAGAGGAGATAAGTTTACAGGCTGAGCTCGGCTGGTTGGCAGCGGCTGTCGCACTCTTGGAGACATAGAAGGAGACGTCGGACGTACAGGAGCCGCGGGACAGTCGGTGATACTGGAGAAATAACTAGTGGACACAAAACGGTTTTTGGGTACGGAGCAGCAGCGGCTTTGGCGGCGGTCCCGCTGCTAGCGAACAAAAACCACCGAGTGTCGAGCAGCCGTTCTCTGAGTGCCGTGGAGGTGAAGAGCAAGGTGCATATGGACACTTATTTGTCACCTTACTCGTTATATTTGCAGTCTTAACTCTTCCTGTGGTGATTACTCTGGCTAATTTAGCCTGCTAAGTGATAGCAAGTTGTCATGTCGCACAATTTACACAGATATGAGCTAAGATTAACTACCCAGCGCAGGTTTTGTAACTGACCAGCTCGCTGGTAACTTAGTTCGCCATTTTAAAAACTTTACTGTTAACCGTGGCGTTGATCTGATAAGTTTAGCTAGCTAGGAAGTTTGAAGATGGGGGTTGTTGTCAGCTGACGCCCCAGTGAGCCACCTGTCACAGCCGTCCCACCTGCCCTGTTACCTAATACTCGTATAGCGTTGTGTGTCTGAGTGAGTTTTAGGTTTCAGCATAACTCCGTGGGAAAGTTTAAGACAAATTAACCTGGTATGGGATGCTGATACCTGCCTGTCATGTTAGGTTCCTGTACGTACAGGTGTGACACGGCCTGGTTCCTTCCTGCCTCCTGTCTGCGCCATGATTACACACCTGCTGCGGAATGAGGCCACAGGGCGATTTTTTTCTGCTCAGCACTAGTTTTCAGAATTAGTGTTTACACAAACGGTGGCCTATTTGTTTCTCAACATAACAGTTACAATACAGGTTTTACACAGAGTATCCATAAAAAAATTTTACAGTGGAAATTTTCCTTTTCTGCTACTTCGTACTTAGACTTCACTACATTTCTGAGGTAAATGTACTTTTTACTTCATTTGATACTGAGGGTGTGACGAAACACTTGGCTCACCAGAGAACGATATGAGGCTGTTTTGAAAACGAAATATATGACTGGAAAAAATGCTTTTATTTAACTGAAAGTCATAAAATACAAAACGCTGCAGGTGCATTTTGAAATGTTTTAACTAAGCATTGTGTAATGAATGTCGCTCCAGTTCTGCTTTCTGAGTATGAATTATCATATACAGTAAAAGACAACAATATGCAAGCACTGTAAATGTTTAGCCACAAACTCAACTGACTTCTCTCCTGTATGATTTCACACGAGTCTCTTCAGACCTTATAACCGTGCATGAACTGTGCACAAGCTTCTAACTTCTAATGTAAGCCGTGCGTGACCTTCTGTCACCCCCGCACTCCGTCATGCTGGCCGCTTCTCTGGCCCTGTTATATACTGATATGGAGAGATAGCATTTCACCAGGGCGATAATTATTATCACGTTTTAATATCGCGAGATTAATAAAGGAAAATCTATAAGCCTATAATCATTAGTTTTTAGTTATTCCTGGTGAAAATTCACAAGATACCAAGCAATAATTCAAGTTCAAAGCAGCAGTGAAAGAAATACTCAGATTGTTTATTTAAATAAGAAGTAACGGTATAAAAATACTGTTAAAAGTAGAAGCCCTGCATTCTAAATGTTAAGTAAAAGCACAAAAATATTAATACCACAAATTAAAGTAAAGACATATTTCACATGATTGTATATCATATTATTGTATTATACTTATTGATGTGTTATTGTGTTGATCACTTTAATGTTGCAGCTGGTAAAGGTGGAGTTAATGTTAACTTCTACCACTAGTATTTTACTCTGTTCACTCTGAGCTGACCAGGGTCATTTAAAATGTTCTTGTGTTCTTATGCTCTACCAGAAACAGGCCTGGGACCTGTTATGTTTCCCAGCCTATAATTAATATAATTCTGCTTTGCACTAATGCATGAGATGACCATTGTCCAGGTTACCAGTGGATAATCTTTCAGCCCAGGGCAACAGCAACCACAACACTTCTCACCAACAACACCAATGTCACAGCTGTGCTAAAGAGTAGGGATCTGCAGCCACTAATCCAGTCAGACCACACTGATGATACTTGTGAGCCAGTAGTGTGTTTTGTGGGAATGCATGTACATTGATCAAGGTCTTTCTCTGCACGCCAGACATTCTTCAGACATTCTTGATTAAACTGCACTGTGAAGTCTTCAACATACTGCATCCATAAATACAGATAGAGATAAAGATAGAGAAACACTCATCACAAAGCCTCCATCAATAATTCATCACATATGGTGGGTTATAGATGGCAGAGTCTGCAGTGCTTTTGAAATGATCTAGGCTGCTAGTGTACCATAGTGTACATCTGACACAGCCCCAAATCTCAGACCCTTAGGAGCTCTTCCTTAATATTGTGAGTATGCATAGGCTTGCTGCTACTTGTCAGCTATGACACTGTTTCTTTGGCTCTTTCTCAGTCTCCCCTCATTCCTGTGTGTGTATTTGTTTGTACAGTTTTGCTCACACACACCTGTTTGTCCCATCCCAGTTTGGCGCAGAGTTTCGTCGGTTCTCTCTGGACCGTTCGAAGCCGGGCCGTTTTGATGAGTTCTATGGCCTCCTGCAGCATGTGCATCGCATCCCCAATGTGGAGTTGTTGGTGGGCTATGCTGATGTGCATGGCGACCTGCTGCCCATCAACAATGATGACAACTACTACAAGGCCATTTCCACTGCAAGCCCTCTACTCAGGCTATTCCTGCAGAGGAAAGGTAAGCACAGAAGACATGTTTGAGCAAAGAGTCCTAGCTTCCATCGGTCCGTTAGGTCAGATCTACTTTCCTATGCAAATACAATGGGCTTGTGTTACCATTGAAGCTTAGTAATATGGGATAGGCTGTTGAACAGAACAAATTATTAAGCTTAGTGTATTTTGTCTAGATTATTTAAACAAAAGAGAAAATTTTAATAGATCATAGTATCATCTTACTTTTTCAGATTTTAAGTTGCATGTTGCCCATGTGTTTTGCCAAAATTAGGGATGCAGCAATGCCAATACCAGTATCGCGTATTGGGTCTGATGCCGCCATCTAGTAGTAGTTTTACCCTACGCACCAGTACCAATTAACGGCAGCATTACAGTAACCTCATGCTGGCTAAGCTGGTCATTAGGCAGCAGAGAGGAAATTTGAGAGGTTCTGGGATATTTTAAGATAAGTGATGATAACAAAAGTAAGGCCAACTGCGTACTCAGCTTCTCTGTTGTGTGTGTCTGTGAGGGCCCCTCCCTCCCTGTCTCACACAGACACAAGGTCACATTTTACACAGACGTCAACACTTGTAATGTGCAACAGCATCATCAGTAATGTAGAGTGTAATACTCACACACCTGTTGAAGAAATGAAATACAACAACAAACTTGCAGAAATGCAACTCTCCTCCTGGTCAAAATACCTGGTCCTGTTCATTCCACTAAAACCACTACGGTGCTTGTTATGCTGATTGTAGTCAGGGGGTTGTGAAATCATTACATCCTTAGACAGGGTCGCACTCCTAGGAAGCTTGAAATGCACTATATTACAGTATGCTGCTGTGTAGCAGGCTACAGAAATTCAGGCAGTTACACGTTTATCAGTGGGAATGCTGGCCGTACTATGTTTTTAGCACAAAGTTTTCAGGTAATTTGCACAGCCTCCAGTTACATAGGATATTGTCTTTAATCACTATCAGAGTAAATCTCATGAAATTAAAAGCTGTCTCTAAAGTCATTGCACTTTTATGGTAATTGTAGTTTTTTCTTTTTAATCGTAGAAACATCACATCATTAAGTACTTGTATCGGCGAGTACTCAACTTGGTCTGGAAAAAAAAAAGAAATTGGTATCCATACATCCCTAGCCCAGATTGAGCTGTTGTTGCAGACAAACTACTTATTGCTGAGAAACAGTGTTCATTTACAAAGAAAATTTCACTGCCAGGGTTGGCCAAAACTAAAAAACTAAATGAGCAAGTGAATGTGTTATTTATTTATTTTAATTCTGTCTCATCACCATTAATTACTGCCTCACTGGCTCATTCCCAGTCATTATTACACAGATTGTCCTGTTATTATATTCAGGGGCTTGTGGAGGACGTTTTGGTCCCTTTAAGCTCATAACTGTAGATTGTTTTTGCATATCTAGGGATTATATTAACCATGGCTTGCCAGACTACAAATAAATAAAGTTTTAACTTCTTTTATGATATTTGAAGTGCACCCTAACTGATGAGTTGCTTGTTGAATATGGGGAAGACCCCAGGGTCTGCTGGCAGGGGTAGGTTGAGCCACGTGCTCTGTTGTGTATAAGCTGTCTTGCTGTGCCATATGACCCTATAGAAGCTAAGCCACTTTGTCAGGAGGAGATTAGTGGGGTCACTGTGGTAGCGCTGCATGGGACCATGTTTCAATTACACGCTCCAGACACAAGCCCCACACTGGGCTCACTGCTGCTCACACACACACGAAAACACAATCATGCAGACAAGCAGACATCACACATCGGTCATGCACTCACACATGCATGACAGAACAAAGCCAGGAGGAACAAACACACTAATGCAGCCACAACCCCCTACAGACCCCACTGCCCTCAGACCCTGGTTTGTCTACCCCCCTTTATCTTACTGGAAGCACCAGTTGGTCCCAGCATAAAGACTCTGCAGTGTGCAGATGCAGCATTTTGGTAGTTTAGAGATCATTTATTATATATCTGCAGACACCAGTTATTATCTCTAGTAAAAGCTCTATAGTGAGTTAATATCTTCTTGATGTTGGGGCCAGGCCAAGGGCCAACTCAGAACATTCTAACACTGTGCATTAACTTTGTTTATCTGGAAAGCATTTCACATCTTTAAATTCTGCTCTCTTAGTGGCATGTTGGCGGAGTGAGAGAACAGGAAATGATTTGGAGGAATTGTTTCAATGATGCTTGGTCTCACAGTCATATCTGTACAAATGGCCCTACACCAAGATTGGGTGGTCTTTTTTTATTTTCAAAGCTTAATCAGATAAATCGGCTCCAAACTCTTTCCTTTTATCAGAAGCACAGGAGTCAGGTCACACTTCTCTGTGCATCACAGTCATTCAGCTAAACCAGTTTGTGTTTGTGCACCAAGGCCAGTCTAGAGTTTCAGCCATAATGTCACAAACGGACTTGTAATGCTATTAGATTACCACTACTGCTGTCTCCTAGATGGTCAGCAGTCAGATGTGATGAGATTGGTAATTACCGCATAAGAGTGGGAGCGGGACTAGACAAGGCAGCAGTGTGGGCCAAAGTTTGTTCCAGCCTGGCCTTCACTATTACACAGATATCTGTGAAATGTGTTTGGAGTTAATAAAAACAAACTCAGTTTCCAGTCTCACTGATTGTAAACAGGTTTCTCTTTGTTTTTAATAAAACAAGAGAAGGGTGTCAGCTCTCAACACAGTTCAGTCCGTGCATGTCATGAGAGGTTATTTTTGGCATGCATTTTGTCTGGATGTCTGAATCCAGGCTTCATCTATCCCAGGCTAGGTGCTCTCTCTGTGGGTTTTGTTCATTCATTGATGTGCAGTTGGTTTGATGGATGGATGTAGGGCTGTGGGTGTCTGTTGTTGTATTGTTGTGGTCTGCTTCTTGAATAAAGCCGACATTGTTGGTGTTCCTGCATCATCGCAGCATCACTGACCAGCCATTATGTTGTATTGTTCACTGCTGGGCTAAGTGTTGGTGTCTCTGTGGGCTACTGGACTCCATGTTTGCCAGTCATTTTTAAAAGCAGTACAGTTCAGCCGCATCGTATATCCCTTACAACCCGCCCTCCATCTATGAACAATGTGCTGATGATTACTGAGCTGGCAAGAAGGTGTCCACTGTTTACTTGTTGTCATGGCAGCACTGAAGAGGCCTGTCCAGGTGGATTAACGGTGCTGAGACTCTTTAAGGCTGGTGAGAGCTGCAGAGCATGCTGGGAGCTGTACTGCTAGCATTCGCACTTAAAAACAGCTTTATGGGCTGCATAAACTGTCCTCCTACAACATTGTCATTTCACTGTGTGTCAGATACACATAGTAGTTTTGTTCACAATCAGAATGAGAATCGATACAATCCAAGTCCAGGGAGCACAGAATGATTCTCCACGGGATGAGAGCTGTTATGAGTGATTTCCTTGTCCACACAGTTTTTGCTAAGCTTGCTGTAAATGGAGATTATTGTGGTCATTATTCAGGAGTCACATGGAGAAGTGTGGATGTTAGTTTCTATTTAAAATAATATTCATTGTCATATCAGTGATTGCTGTTGTAGAAGCTGACAATGCGCACAGTCTCTGATACAAGTGAACCTGACATTGGAGAAACTGTATGACACACCCAGGTTTATGTTTGGTTGGCTGCACACATGGTTGTCAGAAGAGAAGTTCCTGGGTTTACCTGTATCAGTCATCTTGAAAGTTCTTTGTACCCACACAACATACAGTACATATAGTTTCCAGATCATCATGTGTAGAGTTGTGGTAGTTTTTTTTAAGTCTGTCAGGGTGTGGGTTTGTTTGGTGAAGTTGTTCATCGCTCACACAGTTTCAGTCCTGAATGGCTCATAACGCTTCAGCAGTAAGGTAGAGGGAAAGGTATGGAGAGAGATAGGAATGCTTGTATTTGTGTATCCCAGCAGGGACTGCCTTAGCAATTAGTAACCAGAGCATGAGTCATCAAGCCACAGAATGGGAAATGTACAATGTTAAAATGTAACACCCTTCTAATCATGCAGACAGTGTGTTATAAGCAATGTACTGAGTCAGTGGAGTCATGAAAGGGAGAGATACTGTAGGTGTGTAGTGACGGACATGACGGGCACAGAGAGCCAGGTGAAACAAGGAAGACAGTGTAGTGGAGAGGGAGATTTGGATGAAGGATACCAAACATAAAAAATCTGAATGAGCGAGGTTGCCACAACATGAAGGGAAGACAGATCTACACAGAGAAAGTAGGGCTGCATAACAAATCATTTTGTGAGTATGATTTAGATCCCTGTGCGATTTCAGTCTCACGTGACAATGATTCTGCCATGTTTGCATTAGCACAGAGATGCCTTGCAACAAACCAAGTGCCCCCTTATCTTTGGTTAGCTGCGTTAACCAATAGCAGGATTGCGTTGCATCACGTGACGAACTGTAGACAGGAAGAGAAGACTGATTCAAAAACAAATCCAACATGTTGGACATTGTGACAGATATTCTGTGCCCCCCTGCAACTATTTTTCAAACGCTGTGTTGCCACAGTTACATCTCACTGCTAATGCAAACACAGCAGAATTATTGTCACGCGAGTCTGAGGTCGCACAGGGATGTAAATCATGCTCACAAAACGATTTATCACACAGTGCTAAGAGAAGGTGAGAGAGACAAAGTGCTGGCAGGTGTAATAGATGTCATTTTCTCCAAGGTACACAGCACTGAGGAGTAATAGATCAGCCACCCCAGCTGTGAATCTGATAGTTTTCCACAGAGTACAAATTATTCCCAAGGATTGTGTATGTAATGAGTGAGCACCGGAGGAGGAATGCTGGAGGAGGAACATTTCTTAGGCCGAATAAGAAAGATGGAAGGATGAAAGGAGAGAGAGTAAACAGTATTAAAGAGGGAGTAATGTATAAGGCTTTGTTTAGGCAATGGCATGTAATTAGAGATGTGGGGAAGGGAGAAGAAGTAGTATAAGTGTGATTGGAATGCAACAAGAGAGAGAGAGAGGATAG